ATCACAGCTCGTTTACATTTTTACAGCCTCCACAGACTCAGCCAGACCGATGTGACTGACGTCTTCAGTTTGTGTCCTGTTTGTGTTTAGTGTCTCCTTTATGTCCTTTCTTGTCTCTTTGTGCTCATGTTGTCTCCTCGTCCTGCAGATGTTGAACTATCTCCATGTCCCCAGACTTCCTCTCTGCTCTGTTCATCAGCTGTAGAAAGATGTTCCACCATCAGCTGTAGAAAGATGTTCCACCATCAGATGTAGAAAGATGTCCCATCATGCTGAATGTATCTCTAACAACTGGCTCCTCTGTTCACTGGTTCTGAGCCATGCTGCATTTGTTTATTGATCCAGTAGGTTGGATTTTCCTCTCAGTCTCTCTGAGGAAACACTGCCTGCAGTTCACCTGGAAACTCTCTGAATGTTTCCTGTTGGTCACAGCTGAGTCAGCGGTGGAGGATCAGAACCAGGAGGAGGAAGGTTCTGGTTGTACAGGGTCAGAACTAGGAGGAGGAAGGTTCTGGTTCTACAGGATCAGGACCAGGAGGAGGAAGGTTCTGGTTGTGCAGGGTCAGAACTAGGAGGAAGAAGGTTCTGGCTCTACAGGATCGAGTGAGCACAAAAGGTTTATTTTGGAGACTTTTTAAATGAGACATTTAGAATTAAAGGATGTTGATGAAACATTCTGATTTTTTGCTCATTTAGTTAATGTTCTCAACACAACTCCACGTCAAAGATGATACATTCAAGGACTGTTGGAAAGTTGAAAATTCTTCCTCTTTTAGCTTCTGGCTATTGATTTGAGGCATTCTGGGGATTTTAAAAATAGAATAGAATAGAAATACTTTATTAATCCCCAAGGGGAAGTCTTGGTGTTACAGCACAACGATAAAGTTACCACCACCATAAATACAGATAAATAAGCAAAAATAAACAATAAGAAATACACAATGCAAAATGGACAATAAGTGTAATATGTCATGTAGAAGCAGAAAAGTCCTGTGTGGAGTGTAGTGCAAATAGCAATGTGGTAAATGTGCTAAAAGATGTCTTTTAAACCTGTTGGAAGGTTTGTGAGGTTCAGAAGGTTAAAATAAAAGTCTGAAAATGATCTGCAGTCAGTTTCAGGACAAACGGATCATTTATTAAAACAGGAGCAAACAGGTTGGTTACATCAGTTTGTTCACACTGAAGTAAACGGCTGGTTTCAGATGTGAGCAGCAGCAGTTTGGATTCAGCAGCTGAAAAATCAGTTGTGTCTCCATCAGCTGATCTGCTGCTTCCATTAAAGCGTTTCTTCCGGCTGCTGAAGTGATTTGCGGCTCAGAGCTGGTTTAACGAGGACAGCAGATATAAAACTGAGCTGGAAAACATGAAGCGCTCTGACTTTCCGCTGCTGTTTGCTTTAGACGGACAGAAAAACACACAAAACAAGATAAAAAGATGTTGGAAGAAGATTTCTGTGTGGATGAAGTTATGCTAACAGTTTCCCTTTGGTTCCAGTCTTTGTGCTAAGCTAACGTTGCTAGAGAGACACCACAGTCCAACACTATCAGTCTCCATCAAACTTCTCTCTGAGCAGACGTGCACAGGACTGATCATAAAGTGTAAAATAATAAGAACAATCGTACAATAAGAACAAATAAATGACAGTGAAGTTAAGTTGTGATAAAAACACTTGACAAAAGGTGCGTTTCGAGTCTTATTTCAACGTCAAGTCACTGTTGTTTATTCTGAACTTTTCCAACAACAGCTGCTCAGTTAAGCTTTCAGAAAATCAGATTCATGTTAATAATGAACTTATCAGGTTTAAATGTTGTCGTTCAGACAAGTAGCTGTTCTTTATGTAACCTCAGTAATTTAAATATTAGGATCAAACTCTACAGAAACTATATAAAATCTGACTTTACCTATTATGACATTTTTTTTTTATCATTTGGCCACATTTTGGAAATTTTTTAAGTTTTCTTGAACAAGCTTTTGTCGTTTTGGACAACATTTTTCAACCTTTTTTGTCTCTTTTTGGACAAGTTTCTCCAAGACTCGAGGCTGTAAAGTCTAAAGTTGAATGAACTGCAGACGAACACACAGACAGACGTGACGCTGTGATGTAACTGATACTCTTCAACATCTTTGCACGTCTCAGACAAGCAGACGGAGAAGAGTGAAGCCGGAGGGTCGTGGCTGTAAAAGCACAACTCCTGGTTGCTCTCGGCACATTTCCGTCTGCTCCCTCAGTGGCGTGTGTTCAGGACAGCCTCTTTGTTCGGTTTACGGCGGCTGAGGACGGGGAGGGGGTTGGTGTGTTGGACTCAGCATTCCTGTCTGACGCTGAGGAAGGAGCTGAGGAGCTGCAGCAGCTGGAGGTAGGTGCCTCCAGCAGAAACAGCTCCGCTACACGATTTACCTCCTTTTATTCTCTCATTTTCTGCTTTGAAACTCTTGTAAACTCCGACAGCGAGTCGAGCGTCTCTGTTTACAGCAGCAGGAAACTTTCTCTGCTCAGTCGCTGAACTCAGATTGAAACTACAAAACGACACACGAAGGCAGCAGGACTTAGTAGAACTGGTTCTGACCCAGTATAAACAGACTGGAGCTGCAGGACTGAACAATAGACAGAACAACAGACAGACAGACAGACAGACAGATAAACAGACTGAACAACAGAGAACAACAGACAGAACTTGGACACAAACTTTTAAACCTTCATAAACTCTTCAACACAGTTAAACTCCTGCATGAAAAGATAAAGTGAAGAATAAACTAAACTGCTGTTAAACACCAACAGACACATCCAGTTAAACTTCTAATGAACGATTCAACTCGATGCTGACGAGGAAGCCAGAGGATAAAGTGGTAAAATCCTCACAGATGAATTAAGTCACCATCAAAACTCACCATCAGACAAGAACTGATTAAAGATGAATCAGCCACCTTCAGTCTTCACTAACTTACAGGTTTACAGAGCAGACAAAGATGATCAGCTGTTCAAAGAGAACAAGCACATAAACCTCCGGGGCCAGCTTTCACACTTTTTATGGACTCTGGTGGAGCAGGAGGAGCGTCATCAGCTCCGGCTGGGTTCATGTGAATCAGGCTGCAGTGTTTCAGCCTCTGACAGAAACATTGAAGTTCTGACAGTGAACCAGCTGAAGTTCTTTCTGGTCACAGAGCTGCAGTCTGCGGTCGGATCAGAACCCAGTCATCAGCTTTCATTCAGCTCATTTGGAACAGCAGAGACTGAGTCACTTCCAGCTGCAGACTTCCTCACTCTGGACCCAGCTCAGACAAACTGAGCAGCTCCAGCAGAGAACAGTTTAATTACTGGACCTTGATGATGGAACACAGTTAAAGGCTGGTTCTGATCCTCAGAAGGTTCCTGTGAGTGTCTGTATACAGATTTAAACATATTTCCTGCTAAAACAACTCCAACATTTGAGTCCACATCTTTTCAAAATCGCACAAAATTGGTTTTATGGTGCTGCAAGGTGGAACGGTGGTTAGCACCATTGCCTCGCAGCAAGAAGGTCACCGGTTTGCATCCCGGTGAGGACACCCGGGATCTTTCTGCTTGGAGTTTGCATGTTCTCCCCGTGCAGGGTTCTCTCCGGGTTCTCCAGCTTACGGTGATGATACGGTTCATCCAGCAGCTCACCGGAGCAGCTTCCTGTTCCTGCTGGTCTGATGCAGCTGTTTCTGAGCTTTGGACTGAGTTTTATTTTGCAGATTTTTCACATACTTTCATGTTTACTCAGAATTTTTCTGAGTTTTAACAACTTTTTCACTAAATTTTCTCACAGTTTTCTCGGCGTTTTCACCATTTTTATAGAACTTTGAGTTTTTTGCAGTTTTCAAAGACTTCACTCAGTTTTCTTTCAGTTTTCTCTGAGTTTTCTACAAGTTTTTACAAACTCCTTTTATGTTTTTGCAGAACTTTACTTTGAGTTTTTGGAACATTTTCATGTCAGTTTCACAGAGTTTCCTCACTTTTCAGAGTTTCTTCTCTCAGGCGGACGTTTCCGTCTCTGTTTCCACTGAACTGTGCTTCTTCCAGCTTCAGACTAACGAAGCTGCTGTCTGGTCGGTGGGAGGCGACTCGCGGCTCCAGTTGTTGCCCCACTTTGATCCTGAACCCCCCCCCCCACAGCTCAGCCCGGCCCCCCTCAGGGTCACAAAGATTAACCCCTTGTTTCCTGTGGTGGGCCTTAGCTTGAAGTGAAATGGAGGGTGAAAGCTGTTTCCGGCTGGGAGTGTGGAGCAGCGGGGGAAGAAGCTGAGCCAGCCAGCTGCATGCTGGGAGTTTTTTTCAGGGTCTGGAGGGTTTAGATGAGTTTTAGTGTTGGAGGAGGCAGACGCAGAGATTTAGAGCAGAGCAGCAGCGAGCCGGAGGCCGATAGAAACGCTGGAGATCTCAGGATTCACTGTGAGTAATCCAGCATCAGCAGAGTTCAGGAAGTTGGAGAAGGTGGAAGGTCAGTGGCTTCGACAGATTAGTTCTAGATTAAAGACTGCAGAGGTCATGAGTTCAACAGCAGCATCTCCTCTGTTAGTTTAAGTCATTCTGTGTCTTTATTGCACCGTTTTCATGTAGAAACCTGCTTTCAAACACAAACAGGTGAAGAAGAATCCGTTTGTGGTTCTGCAGCAGCTTCCTGCCTCCTTTTATTCTGTTCTTAGCTTCATCACAGAACAACAAGTCCAACAGATCGTCCTCCACTGATGGCTGTGAGGCGTTCAGGGACCATCTGTAAATGACAGCTTCCTGAGCTACTCTGTTTGCATCTAAACTGTGTGAGTCTCTGCAGGAACATCAGAACATCTATTATTAGTTTGTTTTGAACCACTTACAGAACACAGCCGAGGATGATGTGGGCCGACTGACCCGGAACCACTGAGGCCTTCGTTCTCTGTCAGCACCTCTTCAGAACTTTTCGCCGGACCCAGTGGACCCACCGAACCCAGTGGACCCAGTGGACCCACTGGCCTGGTTCTCCTCCACCTGCAGCAGGATGCTTTTCGTGGCGGCAGCGCTGCTGCTGCTGCTGCATGCAGCTTCCTGCAGCGCGACTCTGGTCATCGTGAACTCTGGTGTGGAGGTCAGCAGAGGCCGCTCGGTCTTCATCTCGCAGACGGAGTTGCAGATCAGCGTGGACCCGACCTCCGACTGTAAGGTGGAGGTGGTGATGAACGAGCCGGTGACCCAGCGGGTCGGCAGGTTAACTCCACAGGTGAGCATCAGGCAGGTAACTCTCAGTCCAGCAGCTGCAGAGTCACTGAGTTTGTTCTGTGTGTCTGCAGGTGTTTGACTGCAGCTTCCTGCAGGACGAAGTGAAATACGTCCACAACGGAAGTCCTCTGCTGGACGAGGACACGGTGAAGCTCAGAGTCTACCGGTGAGATTTCAGGGTTTCCACAAAGCGTCCAAAGCTCTCAATTTAAAACTAGTGTTAAAGTTGGACAAGATGCTCAGATTCATTGTTTTACATGTTTCTGTTTCCTAGTTTAAGATTTAGAACAAACTGGATCAGATAATCTACACTCATCTTAAAAATATCAAAGAAAAGGCTGAAAACTGATGTTGGGACTTATGTAGAAATTCATCTGATCTGTTTCCATGGTTCTGATTCTGTGAGGCTAAAATAAGATGCACTGAAATGAAACAACATTTTCTCATGTTTTTCTCTGCAGATGATGATGTTTAATTCATTTACATTTAATTTAAACATTATATTATTCTAAGTACGACTTTCAAGGAGCTGCAGCTGCGTCACAACGTACTGTTGTTAATGAAGCACAGTGAGATGCTGCAGCCAACACGTATATATGTTCATGTATTAGTCTGAACCAATAGTGACTCTGAGCTCCGAAGGTTTGTTGCTTCATTCATTCACAGAAACGTTTCTAACTTTGCTGCATCACAGCCTGTTGTGGTTAATCTGATCAGCTGGCTCTCTGCAGGTTCACGTCTTCAGACACACTGGTGCAGACGGTGGTTCTGAAGATCCGGGTGCTGGACTCTGGTTCTGGTGTAGTGGAGCTGGGCAGTGTTCCGCTGGTGGTTCCTCAGTTCTATAGTTTGTCCAACGCCATCGATGGCTCGGTGTTAAACATCAGAACATCTGGTCTGATCTGCAGCGTCCGACTGATAAACACCGACATCAGCGTCCCAGCGGTGGGTCAGCTGGTCCGGGAGGAGGAGTCCAGCCCGAGGACAGGTACGACTCACCTGAGACACACAGATGGATAAAGAACCTGCACCATTTAGTCCTCAATTAACTTTTACTGTGTTTTATGTTGAATGTGATCATTATAGTGAGAAGGACTGTGTAGGTTTGTCCTGGTGGAACAAATAAAGTTCTGATGATTATTAATAAACTTTATTTACAACATGTAGCCCTAAAACCTGAACACAAGAGTCAAAAAGCTGAACAGAGATAAACGATCAGATATTCTGAAATGACCGAATTATATAAATTCAAAAGGAAAAAATTAACTAAAGCAATAAAAAGGAAAATGTGTTTTTTTAAATTGCAAAAAAGTAAAGAAAACCAAAACTAAAATGAAATTATATAACAAATATAAAATAAAAACACTAAAAATCTAGAGATGAAACTAGTAAATAAGATGTATTTAAGTCAGAAAACATAAACCACCAGTGAAGATGTCAAATTAAATGTCGGTTGTTGTTCTGAATGTGCTTCGTCTTCTATCTGTATCATCTGACGTGTGTCTGCAGGCCGACAGGTGGCGCTCTGTCCTGGAAACAAACCCTGTCTGCATCACACCAAGCAGCTCGACTTCCTGAAGACCAGCTGTAGCGACTTCCTGAGCTCTGGCCTGAAGTACCAGCACCTCAGCCCTCCGTCCCCAGAGATCGACTACATCCCCATCCGGGTGGAGCTGAGGCAGCAGGCTACCCGGGCCCTGCTGGAGGTACGGTGCAGTAAACTACACTAGCATGCTGCAGGAAAGAACAAAGAGCTGCAGGAGAACACATGGGAAGTGCCGTGATGGAACAAAGTTTAAAAACTGCACATTCTGTCATGTCTGAGTCGGACGTGGATGTTTTCCAGCAGAGATTTGCATCTGTGCTGGCAGTGAGAAGGTGACATCCCACTTCATAGAAGGATGTGGAGGATCAGCAGCTTCTTAAAACCTCCCAAACTCCTTCAATCCATTGTTTTCTGCTTGTTAGCACGTCACAGCGGCGTCTTCATTCCAGAGACCTGCGACTTCTAACACGTCAGAAGTGTTTCTTGGCCTTCAGCTCGTCTTCGACACCACATGTAACAGCAGCACGTGTTGATTTCTGCTGTTGTCTTCACATGTTTGTGTGTCCAAAAAAAAAGAGCTGCTGAAAGTAAAGAGCTTTCTTTCTTCTCCTCCCCAGTCTGAGGCGGTTTGGCTGCCGGTTCTGATCCACGGCGCCATGCAGAACCAGCCACCTCAGGCCGCCTTCATGGCCTCCTTCATCCTGGAGGTGGACCAGTTCATCCTCACGCCGCTCACCACCGCCGCCCTGGACGCCAAGGACCACGAGACGCCGCAGGAGCAGCTGGTGTTCAACGTGACCGACCCGCCCGCCGACGGCTACATCACACACCTGGACGATCACACCAGGCCGGTCCAGTCCTTCACCTGGACCGACCTGCACGACATGAAGGTGGCCTACCAGCCGCCCAACAGCAGCCAGACGCACCGCAAGAACTACCAGGTACTGAGGGTACCCTCAGGAGAACAGACCAGAACCAGTGTTTCAGAGGTTTTCAGGCCTGTCGACGTTAATCCAGCAGCTGGACGGTAACGAAGAGCAAAGACAAAAACACAGGAATACCTCCAATATTCTTTGTTTTATGCTTTGTCTTTTAATCTAACGATGAACACTGGTTTCCTCGTTAATATCTTGTGAAATGCAGTTTTTTTTCTTGTGACGTCAGGTGGAGCTCCAGGCGATAGACGGATCCTACCTGAGCAGCCCGCCCATCACGGTCCACCTCTCCATCAGGGTGTCTGAAACAAACGCACCCAGAGTGTCCTGGAACATGGGTACGTGAGTCTCAGTGCATCAGAGTGTATGGTCATGTGGTCTGTGCTACCTGCCCTAACACCTGTGCTGTCTCAGGCCTGGACCTGCTGGAGGGTCAGTCTCGACCAATCACGTGGGAGGAGCTACAGATTGTCGACAACGACAACATCGACAGCGTTTACCTGGTGGCGGTGGACGGACCCTTGCACGGACGCCTGAGTGTCAGAGGTCAGAGGTCACAGACAGGTTAACTGACCTGTAGCAGCAGGTTAGTTTAGGTTAACTGCCCACACAGGGTTTGTAACCTGAACCGACCCACTGATGCTCTGCTGCTCGTACATCTGTTGAGTTCTGTCCAGTAAGGTTCAGCTTCGAGGTTTGAAACGTGAGCAGACACATTTAATTAAATTAACGGGGTTTAGGCTTCGTTACACTAAATCGCTCCGACAATGTGAATTCTGATGGAGCTCATCCATCTTTATAGAAGTAGTTCATATCTTCAGAGATTTTTATTTCATATGTAGTATTTTTAATAGAAATATTTTATAAAGTATTTTTACTATTTAATTATTCATTTTGATTTATTTGTGTTTTTTATTTAATAAAAAGATATTTATCAGGTAAATTTCATTTTTTTTTTAAGTTAATTAATTAATTAATTAATGTTATTTTAGACTTCATTTTTATTTCATAAAACATTTTATAAAAGACATTTTAATAATGTATTTATTTATTAATTTTTATTTCATACAAAGTTATTCATCAATTAATTTTTAATTTATTCAATTTTTAAAATTTCATTTATTTAATTTTTATTCATTGAGGGTTTTTGTTTACTTCATAAAACAAAGCAAATAAAAAATGTAAAATAAACTTTGTTTTGAAATTATTTTACAGTTTTTTTCATTTGTTTTTTTAATTGACTTTAATTATTTGTAGAATTGATCTAATAAAAAGTTATCTATTGTTTATATTTATTTTACATTGCATTTTTTTTTTTATTTCATAAAAGATGGGACATGGGTCTCTGGTGGGACCTGATCACAGCACAATGTTCCTTTAAGGAGAACTAAATTAAAAAGAGAAATTAATCACAAATAAACATAAAACTATAAGTTCAGCCTGACCTCAAACGCTGTCAGCAGCTGAGTGTCCAGTTATTCTACTGCTCTGATTCAAAATGGCAGCAAAACGCCATTTAAGTGTCTTTTGACATCATTTCTAACCTTTAGTTAACCGTAGTTTCACTTTCCTAGTTGTGGCTCATTAACTGCTGCAGCGGATCTGGATTAAAGCTGTAAACAACAAATCGGTCTCTGTTTGAGTATAAAATTCTAATAAATGCAGGAAGATGTTGCAGCTCTGCTTCGTGCCACTAATCCAGTAATCATGTGTTCACATTAAAGTGTGTTTATCAGAGAGGTAGCTGCTGGTATCCAACACTCTCCGTCCTGGGAATCCCAGGAACCGCCGTCTGGCCTTTTTTGCCCTTTTTGCTCCGTGTGCCCGTCCGTCGGGGACGTGGTGTTTCTGGGGAACATATGTCCAGTGGCCCTGCATGTGTTTCCTAATCAGGTGTAAAATGGGGCCACTTCGCCAGGGGCCGAGCCGCCGCCGCCTCCGTCCACGTCTGTCCTTCCAGGCCGCCGAGTCGCGAGGCGGCCGCTCAGTCGGAGCAGATTGGAGCGACTTCTGCCATTTCATGGCGCCGTGCACAGCGAGCAGATGCACTGTCCCCAAACAGGTTTTCATGCTACCAGTTCGGAGGGGGAGGAGGTGGCAGCAGCTCGGCCCCGAGGGCTGCAGGAGGGAGTTAACCTTTCATGGCTGCTTCTGCTCAGGCTGCAGCTCTGTGCTCAGATTTAATGTGTGACGCTGAAAGTCTCCTCAGCTCCAGCATCAGCGCTGCTCTGCTGCAAACAGCTGAGCCTGCAGCAGCACAGCAACACCGCCATGTCCTGCAGCAGGTTCACCTCCGTGTCCCACTGCAGGTTCACCACTGTGTCCCACTGCAGGTTCAACTTCATGTCCTGCTGCAGGTTCACCTCCGTGTCCTGCTGCAGGTTCAACTTCATGTCCTGCTGCAGGTTCACCTCCGTGTCCCGCTGCAGGTTCAACTTCATGTCCCGCTGCAGGTTCACAACTGTGTCCCTCTGCAGGTTCAACTTCATGTCCTGCTGCAGGTTCAACTTCATGTCCCACTGCTTCCCAACATATCTCCAGTGAGTTCCTACAAGAAGCGAGTTGTTGAAACTAGGTTTGTTGGAAAGCTGCAGCCTCATGTTCCTGAGTCTCTACAGCGGAGGGGAAGAGTCACTTTGGACACGTTTTCATCATTTTGGACAATTTCTAACTCAGCTTGGTTAAGTTTTTGTCGTTGTGCAAACATTTTGAGCCATTTTGGACAAACTTGATGTCCGTTTGGACATTTTTCATTCCGTTGTTAATAAGCTGTCGGGGCTTTAAACAGACTCTGGAACATGAACAAACAAAAGCTGTGATCCAAACGGTCGGTACCAGCAGGACCAGCTGACTTTTACTCAATGTAGCACGTAGTCTACAACAAACAGCAGTTGTACTGGTTCTGAAAAATCTCCATGATGTATCAGGAGAATGTTTCAGGAACATCAGGTCCATCTGAAACTCCCTTTACATTTGAACTTCTGCAACAAAATACAGTGACTCTGGTTCCTTCAGTCAGACAGGTGTTCACAGGTGAACGTTCACCTTTGGGTGTCAGCTGACCAGTACTGACCAACAGGTCCATGTGCAGAACATCTTGTGTCCTGTTCCAGATACAGTCAGAAAGTTCTTCTTCCCTCCATGTCGGAGAGTCATGGCTTCAGGTTTTCTGTCCATCCTTGAGAACGTTTCAGTGCTTTTCTTAATTAATTCACATAATGAAGGTTTGGAAAATCACAATAAATATTCAAATTCCTGCTTAATGCAGTGGTGCCATGATGCCTTTCAGTGCTGCACAGAAAACTGAATTTCTGTCTCTGTTTTCTGAAAAATTAAATAGAAGAACAGAAAATGCAGGTGCTGGAAGGAAACAGCTGAACTCTTGATGTTCATGGTTTTGTCCTTGTTTCAATGAATCTCTACAACAGAAGTGAAAAAAGCAAAGTTATTTGGACAATTTGAGCCATTTTGGACAGTTTTTGAATAATTTTGTGTCGGTTTCTTGAGATAGTTTTTACACGCTTGTCATTATTGGACCAGTTTGAATCATTTTGGACAATTTTTGAGTTTCTTGGGACACATTTTTGTCATTTTCTGCAGCTTTCTAGACATTTTTGACACATTTTCTAGTCATTTTGTGAATGGAGACCCAGCAGGAGGAAATAAACCTGATGTTCCTTTACTACGCTGGTGCACGGTTGTAACAGCGTTCACGCTCAAACATAGAAACGCCGACTGAGTTGCAGAAACTTTGGTCCCAGCAGGCTGGTTTCCTCCAGCAGCACCTGCTTCAGCTCCGTCTCTGGACTCGTGTTTGTCTCTGCTGAAGTTTGTCTCAGCGGCTGCAGGAATCAGCGCATCGATGCTGCGTCTCTGAGGAGCCGCTGACCCTCGGTGCTGCGACTGCAGGGCTGCATCTCCAATGCCTTCAGCCAAATGGACGGCTGCCTGTCACACACACACACACACACACACACACACACACCTACACACACACACACACACACACACACACTCTCAGGCCGGCATCCCAGTTCTGCCTTTATGGGCCGGCTGCCCAACACCACCTTTGGGCCCAATTACCAGGTTGTTTCCGTCGTTGGACTGGGCGCCGGTTCCCCTCGGTAAAGTTGCTAATGAGGTTCGGGCTCGCGACCGCTCGTCTCTCAATCTGTCAGCTGACCTTCTGTCTCTCTGGCACTCGCAGGGAGACAGGAAGCCCCCGTCCTGGCAACCGGGCGGCCGCCGGGAAGGACGCCATGTTTTACCCCACCGGTGTTGGCGGCGTGGACCGAGCCAGCGCCTCCAGGCGCCAACACAAACTTGTTATTTCCAAGTGACAATGGGAGGGAAATGTGCACGTGTCGGAGACGGTAATTGAATCAAAGTGCGAAGCTTTGGCTGCAAACCGCACGCCGACAACAACACATGTCCTCCAGTAGGCCGCCAGTCATGTGATGCTCGCTGTTAGCGTTAGCATGTTGTACGGAGCGAGGAAGGCCAGCCAGCACAGATGGACCCGGCCCACATTCATAATGTAGGACACCAGAGCTTCTCATGTTCAGGCCAACAGGAGCAAACTGAAACCTGCACAACAGAAAGTAGAGTTATTAAACCATCAGTGAGCTGCTACGGAAACTCCGACGTGTTCTACTTCATATGTGGAGGAAGTTACAGCTCACATCAACACCACAGCAGCTCTAATGCCTGATCAGGAAAAGACCCGGATAAATAATTTAACTCTCTTTTAAAGCTTCAAAGGCAACATCTTGATCCACAAACTTGAATAGCTCATTTCAGCTTGACAACATTAATAAGATCTAGTGAAGGTTTGAAATATCACAATAAAACATTCAGCGTTTTGGTCACCGTTGAGATGGAAGGAGGAATTTAAATCCTCACTGATTCTAAAATGTGGTTTCATTTACTCAGAATCAATGATGAAGATTAAATGATTTTACAGTTTACCTTTTGAAATGTGACGATTTGATGTTTTCTTTTTGAATCAGACAGAATCAAACCATTGAAACGTTGGATAGCCTTATTTCCACTGATCTCGTTGTCTCCAGGTGGGAAAGCGTTCATGTTCCGTGTTCGGGACCTGAGGGAGAGCGTGGTCGTCTATCATCACTCCGACAGCGACACCACCCGCGACCACATTGTGTTCCGCATCAGTGACGGCCGCCACAGCGTCCGGCACAAGTTCCCCATCAACATCCTGCCCAAAGACGACTCGCCGCCGTTCCTCATCAACAATGTGGCGGTGGAGGTGCAGGAGGGTGGCGCCGTGCAGCTGCAGGAGTATATGCTGCTGGCCGCCGACCTCGACTCCAGCGACGACTACATCCTGTACCAGACTGTCTCCGCCCCCCGGGCCGGTCAGCTGGTCAGGAGGAGCTCCGCCCAGGACGCAGGTGAGTGGGCGGAGTCAGGCACTCAACGTTCAGGTGGCTTGTTTAAAGTTTCCTGATGGTCCTTTAATGTCTCAGAGCTGTGAGGACAAGTCATCAAATCTGAGCCTAGAATCCTGATTTTTCATCCAAATCTCTTAATATTGTTATAATTGAAATACGACAGCCTCAGACTCACAGGTTGAGGGTAATTCTGGTTTATCTAACTTTAACACGCTAACGAACCACGTCACATCTTCACCAAGAACTCACCAAATGACACCATTTGTTGGCCATAAACTGTAAAATCAGAGAAGATTCAGATTTCCAGCTTTCTGGTGGTCCTTGAACACATCTGTGTGACATTCCATCACAGTTCACATCCAGTTCTCATATTTAATCTTTCAGCTGCAGATCCTGTAAAAAACTAAAAATGTGATTTCACAACTGAGAGATCTCAGTTCTGCATGTGATCTGTTCGTTAAATCTGGATTTTAAAAGCAGCTGAAGCGTCCTATAAATGGGTTTCTGGAAAAAGGACAGTATTTACTTTGAATTTTAGTGAAGTAGAAGCAGAAAATGACATAAAATGGAAATTACAAATTTAAAAGTACCCTAAATTTGTACTTAAACAGAATTTGATTAAATGTATTTCATTTCTTCATAGAAAATAAAGCAGAGTTGGTTGCAAAAATAAGAAATAGTTCAATATCAGCACCAGTCAGATACATAAAGTACAAATTAAACCACAAAGAAACATAAAACGACCAAACAGCTGAGCCACCACCGGCCTTCTGTGTCTCTTTGTGGATGTTTTATGTCTTTTTTGGACTCCAATTGACCACAAAGACACACAAACAACCAGAACAGAAGTCCTGTAAATACTGTGTTCCAGCTCAACGAGCTAATCGTCTTATTAGAGGCTAAATTAAGGCTCCACTCAGACTGTTTCCATGTTTCCTTCCTGTTCTGTGACTCGTATTCACCTGAGAGTCGTGTTTAAAACCTGCAACAGAAAGCAGCTGCTGTTTTTTCTCCACAGTTTAAATCCGAGGCCTCGTCCTTCACGTTACAGTAAATGTGAGTTTGTTCCATCTGTGAATTTGCGTTCACACCAGCTCACAGCGAGTGAAGGTGTGACTAGAGCTCGTTACTGTGCTGCTGCAGCACCGACTCTGTTTTTAGTCTGGATCTGGGCCCATTTAAATCCACATAACTGCAGCTGATCAACAACAACCTGAGAAGCTGCTGTAGCTCACACAGCTGATCTCAGACTCACAGTCAGTTATTGGTATTTGAAATTAACTTCTGATAAATATTTTGGTGAAGTGTTGAGAATTTCCCGGAATTTTTTTTTTCTTCTTTCACCGTCAAAAAATACAAATGGAGCCATTTTCAGGTTCAATATCTCCAGAAATAAAACAGTCATGATATGTGGGGACTCAGATGGAACGGTTCCATCAGAACCACTGAATGGATCCAGTAAGACACAGTTTCATTATTGGACCTTGAAATTGGAAAAAAGTGCAGAACTTTTAACCCAGGTTGGATTCTACTGATGTTCGAGCCTCAAAGGTGGTGAACTTTATATATTAAAATCATTTCCCCACAGAGTGAGTCCTGTCGACAGATGGTCCTGGTAGGTTCTGGAGGTAAAACGGTCCTTCTATTGTCTAGAATTTGTTCTGACCAACCTCCATCACACATGCTGATATGAGCCTGGAAAGTTTACCCAGAATGCATTTTTTAAAGTTTTCTCTGGTGAATGATGAGAAACCAGAAACACATCCAGGGTACCAATGATTGTTTCTATGACTCTGTGTCATAGACATTAAACTGCTGCAGTCTGACTGTTCACACTATGATACATCCCATAATACTGATGCTACCAGCTGCTTACACACGACATGAACAGAAACCAGATCCAGTGTTCAGACTGTGACACCTGGATGGATGTAGAACTGATCTGGTGTCAGTTTCTACCAGAACTCAGATGTGTTTTTGGTTGATTTTATAGGGAATGACTCTGCAGTAAAGCTGTAAATATCAGAATCACATGATGTTCAGGTTCTGTTGGTTCTCTGGACCTCCTTCAGGACTTCCAGTGGACAGATTCCTGCAGAAAGATCTTCTGCAGGGCCACATCTTCTACCAGCACTCTGGAGACGAGCAGTTCGAGGACTCCTTCGACTTCACGCTATCTGACAGCCATGAGCCTCCAAACCTCTCCCAGACATACGTGAGTCAGAGCAGTTGGGTCGGTACCTGGAACCTGTTAGAGCCTGCTGGCACCTGTTAGAACCTGTTGAGGACCTGTTAGAACTTGTTGAAACATGTTAGAACTTGCTAGAAAATGTTGGAACCTGTTGAAACATGTTAGAACTTGTTAGAAAATGTTAGAACCTGCTGGATCCTGCTGTCCTCTGTCTGCAGACGGTGGTGGTCCATGTGTTCCCGGTGAAGGACCAGCTGCCGGTGGAGGCTCAGGGAACCGTCCGCTCTCTGACGGTGAAGGAGACGGAGCTGGTCTTCATCACCCAGAATCAGCTACTCTTCACCGACCCAGAACATCCAGACACCGACCTGACCTACGTCATCACGCAGCCCTGCTTCAGCCCGCTGCATCCTGGGTAAGACCGATGTCCAGGACGTTCTGCTGCCAAACACCAGAGTCATAATAATGATGGCAAGAACCTTATTTATATGGAACCTTTTCAATCTGAGTTCACAACTCGAAAGACAAAAGACCAGAGAGGCAGAACTGGAGAAGAAAAGTAAAACACAGCGAAAGATTTATAAAATCAATCCACATAACAAAAAACAGTAGATACAAATATAATAATTAAAGCACCAAAAATACTTTATCAAATTAAATAAAAGAGAAGGTAAGACCATAAAACCATCCATCCATCCATTATCTATACACCGCTTAATCCTCACTATGGTCCCGGGGGAGCTGGAGTCTATCCCAGCTGACTCAGGGTGAAGGCAGGGGACACCCTGGACAGGTCACCAGTCTATCACAGGGCTACACTTAGAGACAGACAACCAAGGACACTCACATTCACACCTACAGACAATTTAGAATCACCAATTAACCTCAACATGTTTTTGGACTGTGTGGGAGGAAGCCGGAGAACCCGGAGAGAACCCACGCTGCACGGGGAGAACATGCAAACTCCACACAGATCCCGGTGCCCCAACTGGCGACCTTCTTGCTGCGAAGCAACAGTGCTACCAACTGTGCCACCTTGCAGCACCATAAAACCAGGGAAACATGATATAATAATAGTAAATAAAAAAATATTATTAATAAAAAAGAGTAAAAGAAAATTAAAGACAACTAAAGTTGTGTTTCTTTGTTAAACAATGTTGTGGCCTTAAATCGTTCTGCTGATAGAATGAATGTGTTAATAATGAACTAGCAGCCTCTCACATTGTCTTTGTGCTGGTTCTGAATGATGAAACGTACAAAGAAAGTCTGTCTTTGGCCGCTGATGTCAGACTGATTAACTCGGTTTTACACTTTCACATCTCATGATCTGTTCTGAGCCGACCGGTGTGATACTGGCTCACGTTTTAAAGCTGTCCTGGACTCAGATGCTTTACAGTGTTTGCACTGATCCAGGAATTAAACCGAGCCTCACTTTCATTTTGATTCTCAGCCTGATGGATGCAGGACGTCTGTTCTACACCGACAGCAGCAGCACCATGAAGAGAGACCACATGGTTCCGGTTCTGAAGTCCTTCACTCAGGTACGGAAAAGACATGTTAACGGTCCCATCTGGTGAAAACCTCATTTATTGTTTGTTTTAAACTTGGAAGTATAAAATAATTTACTGTGCTCTTCAGCCTCCACAGCTGGGTAACCTCCAGCTTTACCAGCCAGTAAAAACCTGAGCAGCTGTTAACTAACCAATAGTGGTCCAGCTCTGTGTAGCTCCGCCCCCTCACTGCCTCCAGGAGAACCAATCAGAGTGAGCAGCTGCCTCTCAGTCCTTCAGGTTTATTTGCTTTCTACAGCTGCTTCTGTTAAACTCTAAAATGCCTGAACCACGGACAAAATTCACCAAATGTTCTGCTGTTAGAGTGAACGCAAGAGTCTTCATGAGGAGCTGAACATCCAGATTACTGATGGTCCCCACAAGTATAGCAGAACCCTTTGTGTTAGCCACTGTACCGCTAATGTGGCTAACATTAACATTAGCCACAACAATAGGCGAGGGTCTTGAGTCTCCAGGCTGTTCCACTGATCTCCTCCCTCTGTTTTCCCAGAATGCAGTGAACCACCTGAAAGTCGCCTTCATGCCTCCAGTGGAGGACATCGGTCCCGAGCAGCTCTTTGTCCAGTTCGTCTTCTCCGTCAGTGACCACCACGGTGGCACCGTGTCCGGACTGACCTTTAACATCACCGTCCTCCCGGTGGACGACCAGGCGCCGCAGGTCAGAGGTCAAACTGGCCGTTAGCGCCTCCTGGAGGATGTTTGATTGGGTGATTACTGTGCAGGAAGTGGTGCTGGAGGTTTTACTGATAGTCCTGGTTCGGTTTACAGGCCTTCACCAACCTGCTGCGGGTAGAGGAGGGCGGTGCCGCCTTCGTGACAGAGGAGAACCTGCTGGTCCAGGACCGGGACAGTCCAGAGGTGGCGCTGAGGGTGGAGCTGCAGAGGAAGGCTGGTCGAGGTCGGCTGGAGCTGCAGGGCCGGACGCTGCTGCAGGGGGAAGGCTTCAGTCTGCAGGACCTGAGAGGACTCAGGCTCAGGTCAGGACTGGGTTTGCTTTGGTCCAGTTCTGGTCCAGTTCTGGTCCAGTTCTGGACATCGGAGGTGGAAACATCACTTGCTTTTCTACTTGTTAATCTATCGACTATTTGCAGATGAATCATTAAAATGATTCATTTTCTCCCAGAAAAGCAAACTGAGCGTCTCATAAAGTAGATTTTATTGTGACAAACTGTGAGAAGCAGCTCAGTGTGAAACAGAACCGAAGTATAACCAGGATGATTTATGTCAGTGTGTGCATAAGAAGCAGCTACAGAGGAGCTTCATAGTCAGAATCAACCAGAGCAGCTTCTCTGCTTTCACTGCATTTATGGGTTTTTCTTCAACAGATGAACCTCAGAAACATAAATGAAGCTCAGTGAGCCAGAAGTTGGCGTTTAATATTGTTAGTTATTGATTATTCTGGTCTCCATCAACGACCTGGTGCCTCAGTGTTTCCTCTGACTGTCTTCTGTCAGCAGACATTAAACTGATCACCTTTAAACTCGGCAGGTACATTCACGATGACTCTGAGACCACCGAGGACGAGGTGGGTCTGAAGGTGACAGATGGACAGAACTCCGTGGACGTCGTCCTGCAGATTCAGGTCAGTTTTTCAATCAGCGCGATCTCTTCTTCTCCTGAGCTGCTGAGTCCAGGATGCAGCTGTTGTAGTTTCTGGGATTCCTATGAATGTGGGCTGATCAAAAAGTTTCATGTTCTACCTGTGCAACAACAGCAGCAGTCAGTAGACCAGGTGAGGGCCTCAGGTTCCAGATGTTTCTGCAACATCAGTGAATTCATCGTTACTTTGGACAATTTAGTTAATTTTTGACAAACTATGAGTCATTTGGTCGTATTTTAGGTCATTTTAGACACATTTGGAATCGTTTTGATCAAGTTTTTGTTATTTTGGTCAAACTTTGAGTCACTTTCAACCATTTAGTTTTCTTCACATCCACCTTCTTCTTCTTCTTCTTCTTCTCCATCAGATTCCAGGTAAGGTGTCTCTGTTTGGACTCAGTTCAGACAATCAATCCCAGATGTATTTATTGATTTTATATGAACAATAAGAAGAAGAAGATACAGTTCAGGTTTGTTCACTTGACGAATGCGACGCCACCAACATTAAAAACTGTGAACTGTCGGCATTAGATCATGACTTTAGGGAGTTTTTCTGTTTTCTTGCTTTTGTGTTGGTGATTCTGACCAATCCGGGGCCACTGTGGGCGGAGCTCCGTTACCTGACGACAGAGTATTATCAGGTATCTAACCCCCTCCTATCCTCAGGTGCTGCCCATGAATGATGAGCCGCCCCAGCTGGGCGGCGGCCTGTGGGGGGCGCTGAGCTGTGAGGAGGGGGGGCGTGTCCAGGTGACGGTGGATTACCTGTCAGCCACCGACCGTGACAGCGATGACGCCCGGCTCACCTACATGTTGGCCCGGCGGCCCGGCCGAGGGGAGCTGCAGCGGGCCGGACTCAGCGTAGACAAGTTCTCCCAGCAGGACCTGCTGCAGGGCCACGTTTACTACGTCCACACAGGTGAGACACCTGGCAGCACAGGTGAGTCCGTTCCGATCACAGACCAAACGGTGTCCGACTCCTCCACTCATAACTGACCTCAGTTGCAACTGTTAATAAATGAACTGTCAGCTAATAAAGGGTTTAATTAAATTA